GAGAAAAAGCAAATCAATTACAACAGATCTCGATTTAATTCAGCCCTACAAACTTCACCCCGATGAAACATTTATTTCTGAACATTGCGACAACTTTTTAAATGTTTCAACTGAAACTCAAATAGCGACAGCAAGAGTTTGTTTATCAGATTCAGATTACTCGGAAAACTATAAACTCTTCGATTCGAGAACTTCTTTGCAAAATGTTTTCAAAAATTACACAAAAGCAGCTTTTGTTGACGTTGGTGCCAAAGTTGGTATGCTAACCTTAACTGGAGCTATTTGGAGCAAAAAAGTTTTCGCTTTTGAGACAAATACTAACTTGGTGAAAAAGTTGGCTCATTCAATTTTTTTGAACAAAATTGAGAACCAAGTCAAATTGTACTGTTATGTTTTGACGGATGAGTATTGCTTAAATTTAGCTTCGAAAAATTTCACTGCGAGCACCACTGCAACAGAAAGCTTCCGAAAGAAATCTTATTGCGCCAAGTACGCAAAATCTTCAAAATTTGCTACATTGGATAATCTGATACCAACGTTCGAAAGATTCAATATAACTGAAGCAGTTTTACACATAGGCACCGAAGGTTCCGAGCTTGAAGTACTTAACGGAGCATGGAAGTTTCTTGCAAAAATAAATGTTCCCTACATTTATATCACTTGGCGGTCAGTTGTAAACTGTTTCAGTTTTAAAAAATTGAAATCGTGCGACAAACGTTTCATCAGTTTGGTCATTGAAAAGCTGAATGAAAAATATTCTCCGACCAGTCTACTGAAATCAGATTTATTGGACGTGAAAACCTTGCAAGTTTGGCCACGTTTGGTTGTATGGAGAAAGAAGAACTCAACAAGCAAATCATCATGAATTATAAATAAAATTTATAACAAATTGTATCTTTCAATTTGGCTTTTTTAACCTAAGTTTTTTACCTGTTCACGCTGGCACAATTTAATGCAGCTTACAGCATAAAAAATCGTTTTAAATAGACTTTCATATATTGAGTTCTAGAAAAAACTAAAAGGGGAACTGGGAAAAAGCCGACAACACGCAAACCAACAACAATAATAGAAAATTTGAAAGGTGGGGGAGGTGGAAAAGAGCCTTAATTTTACACAAATCAGCAAAATTTGAAGCGCTTAGTTTTTGATATAATGTTTGATAAGAACTGGTGTTTTTGCTCATTTGCGCTAGACAGAGGGGAGCTTAAAATTTTTTTCAGGTGTTACGCTTGATTTGAAAGACCTCAGTTAACGTTTCATTCCCGAAATAATCTCAAAAGTTTTGAACCATATGAATCACAACGTACGATCATTGATTAAAACTGTCTTAAAAAAACTCATTGATCAATTTTTCATCGCTCACCCTCAATTTTATGAAAAAATAACCTTTAATCAGCAGCTGATTTAGGGGGGCGGGGGTGGGGGGCGGACGCTTTCCTTCAGGAATTCGACCCCCTGCCGACCCAAAGGGTCCCCCCTTTGTACTAGTTTGAGATATCCATATTTGCTGACAGACCCTAAAAACTTTCTAAAGGCGCCTTTAGCGCCAATCTGCACTAATTTTGATGGGGGAGCGTGCCCCAAAAAACGCGGTTTTTTGGTCCAAATTTTCCAAAAAAGCCTAAAAACGCTTTTCTTCAAAAAATTGGTCAGATTAGTGTTTTTAAAGTGGTTTGAGAATGCTCAGAAAATCAATTTATTCGACCAAAAAAAATGTCCTAGATCCGCGCCTGCCTTTAATAGAAATTTTTCCCGTTTTTCACAAAAATACCCTTATAACACTAAAAACGGCCAAAGCAAACAATATATGAGAGTTTTTTTATGCATTCTCACCTGTTTTTAACCACTTCTAGGTCCGACAGTAACAAAACAATCCAAATAGCTTTGAAGCTGTTTAAGTATAGCTGCATCATTACACGCAACTAATGAACCAATTTTTTATTAATTTCTGAGCACGTGCGTTTTCACCAGAAGTTTGTATAAAAAAGTTATTACAAAAATAATTTAACGTAAATTGGAACTTTCATTTAAGAAAATTGTTGTTTAAAATCAAATTACAACCTAAATATATTGACAAAAAAAACGGCCAAAGCAAAAAAGAATGTGGTTTTTTATGCATTCTCACCTGTTTTTAACCACTTCCAAGTCCGGCAGTAACAAAACCATCCAAATAGCTCTGAAGTTGTTTAAGTATAGCTGCATCCTTACACACAACTAATGAACCAATTTTTTATTCATTTCCGAGCACGTGTGTTTTCATCAGAAGTTTGTGTAAAAAATTTATTCCAAAAATAATTTAACGTAAATTGGAACTTTCATTAAAAAAAACTATTGTTTAAAATCAAATGACAGCCTAAATATATTAACAATAAAAACGGCCGAAGCAAAAAAACATATGGGGTTTTTATGCATTCTCACCTGTTTTTAACCACTTCCAAGTCCGGCAGTAACAAAACAATCCAAATAGCTCTGAATTTGTTAAATTATAGCTGCATCCTTACACGCAACCAATGAAACAATTTTTTATTCATTTCCGAGCACGTGCATTTTTCAGAAAAAGTTTGTGAGAGAAATTGACTACAAATATAATTTAACGTAACTTGGAATTTTCATTAAATAAACTGTCGTTAAAAATCAAATGACAGCCTAATAAACAAAATTTAATGATTTTCTGATTGAAAACAAGAAAAAATCTTGTAAGAAAAACCCGGACTGAACTTATGTCAACAGTCATTGCTGAATCAGTGTGATTTCATTCGAAAATTTTTTTGATCTTTGGTCGATGTTTGCTAATTCGGCGATGTTTGATTAATGATTCAGCGCTAAACAAACAACATTTTTCTTTATCAATAAATCAAAGAACGAAACTGCTTGTATCAAAGAGAAGCCTTGAGCATTACAACCGTAAAAAATTGTTAGCTAAAAAATCAAATTTTGTCTTGGTAAAAAAATCACCACTAGCAAAAATTTTCTGACATTTTCATTGGAAGTCTGAACAAAAAACCGCTTTGCTGTGGTGCGCAATATTTGTGGTGTTTTATTTGCGCGGTTTAATACAAGTTATTCAATTAATACCAGTTTACAAAGATAATACTATTTTAAATTTTGTAGAGGAGAGTGTATAGCATTTCAAATATTGAAGACCTAAGCACTCTCTCCTTATGGAGAGAGTGCTTAGGTTGAGGTTATTTTTGGGAAAAGAGTTCTTTAAAAGCTCTGAGGATGTAGTTTGACATTAAATTCTGAAAAAAAATCAAAAACTCTAGTTTTTTTTTTTTAAAAAACATTATTTTAGAACAACTTCACTTTTACAAACAGCATGGAAAAAGCGGCAAGAAATGTAGGTGTTTTTTTTGACATTTATTAGATATCAGAATAAATATATTGGAAAAAAGATGATACTCAGGCTAAAAATTTTTTCCTTATTGAATTAACTACTGCGAACAAAATTGATTTTGCCAACAGATAGTTGGAAAAGAGTCATAAACTCAAAGAAATAGAAAAAAGTACCGATTTAATTTTTGAAAAAAAAATACTTCAGCTTTCAAAAATCAGAGTACAAAATATATGGTTATAAAGTTTTTTTGAATTTCTTGAACAAATTATGATTGACACTTTTTTGATTAAACAATTTTGGCACACATTGAGAAAACTGGCAAAGGTAAAACTTTTCTTCCGCTGTGAAATCTGATAATTAATTAAAACTTTCAAAACTAGAAAGCGATCACGTTTTTTATGCGAACATTGCTTTTTTGCTATTCGAAACTGGAGTTTGTCTTACTTTCAACAAAAGAATTGACATGGACTTAAAAAAATCAAAAGTCAAATAACCAAAACTGAAATTTGAGCTGGAGCAAAATTTCAGAACATCTCCTGAAAAAAATAACCAAGGCATATATAAGAGCATTTTTTACGTTCATGGCACTTGAAAAAAGAAGCATTATAATAAAAAAGAAAATTGCCCGAAAAAAGAACTGCTTAAAAAACACAATTCGGAAAAATAACATCAAATTTGGTTTTTAAGTAATATATTTTAAGTATTACACATTTAAGAGAAAAAAATAGCGAATTTAGATATGGTTGATGGTCAGCTGCATGAAAAAGATGGGAGCTGTGCGACCAGTGGTTCAAAATTTATGACCGGAGCCATAAACAAGCTCAAAATGAGGTCCAAAACTGACGATTAGAAATCTTGTCACACGGCGTTAGAGCTTAACTCAGCTGGTTAAGAACTCCGAGAAGAGTGCATCAGGCTTTTCACTCCAATTCACTCTTTGCGAGAGCTTAGTTAATGTTGAGGCTAAAAAGGTTGAGCTATGTCGAGTAACTTTAATCGAAAACACTTTAAAGCATGTTAAATGCGAACAGATCGAAAACTTCAGCCTTGGACGCAACTGGAAGTAGCGAGCTCAAAAAGAAAAAAAACTTCGATTAATCCAAAAATCTTAGATAGACTTGATTTCTCCAATACTTCAGGCAAAAATGTAATGCAATTAGTGTCTGAGGTTCTTTGCATAAAAGCAACCTATCTTCCAGCTAATAAAGATAAGAACTTAATTTATTTTTTATAGGGACTTCAAAAAGTTTTTTTTTCAAATGGTTGGTTTGAATTTATTAACAATTCTTTATCAAGGGCATTCGGAACAAGGAGGGATTTGCCTTGATATGGGCAATCTTATTAATATGAGCAGGCCACGCGATAACTGCTTCAACTTCACTTGGTGCGCGTTCCCGATGCCGATTTTTTAAAATTTCAAAATATTCCTGAAACAGCCCACTACTGTCTTATTCTTTTCTTCATATTTAATGAGAATAACACTCTAATTCACCACTGATCCAACATTTGATTTCTAAATCTAAAACTAAGGATGCACAAATGATCATTCTTGGACAAAAACGTTACAATAATCCAGGAAAATTGTTCAAACGTCGCAAATATATGCTGAATCATGGTTTAATATTAGTAAACTTGAACCCACGTTCAGAAATAATCAGTAAATCCGACAGATAATGCAATAACTGTTTTTTTTGGCTTGTCAACGATTGTGTATATAATGCGATGGTAACATTGACATTGACGTTGCAAGTAGCACGAGGTGATCACTTTTTTCTTGAATATTGCAGCCATCGTCTTCATATTGGTCTTCTGTCTCCCAAACTGCCACTATGAAAAAATCACAGTCTAAATTTTGAAACGTTTTTGCATCTAAAAATTACTTCTTCGTAGCAATGATAATAAAGAAATATGGATTCAAGGAATCTGGTGCATGTGCGTAATTGTTTGCTAGCCCACTCTTATAAGCAACTGAGAACAACTGAAACGAAGAGGAGCCGGTTGCTGCAATTATCGGATTTTCAAAAATTTTGTCGACTTCTTTTTAGGTAGACCAAATTGATTTTTCGAGAGCACTACAGAGGCTGAATTTTGACCAAAAATGTAGCCTTGCAGGCGAATTTTTGAAAAAAAGGTCAAAAAAGCCAAAACGCTTTGGCGCGCGCTCCCCTAAAAAATTAGTATATATTGGCGCAGAAAGTGCATTTAGAAACATTTTAAGGTTGGTTGGTCTAAAAATGGATGTCAAGTAGAAAAATGTATCAAGCTCCAGCTAAGCCGACATAATTAATTTTCTCCCAGAAACAAACTTCAATTTATAAAAAAAATTTAGCTCCTGGCAAGAATCGATTCTATTAATTGGTCTTCTGAAGGATGGAAGCTACCTTCACACCAAAAACGATTGCAAATCGCAAGTCTAACACGGACGCGAAGCCGAGCTTCGCACCACATACCATGCAATACAAAACCGCCGCCAGATCGAAAAAAATATATCGAAAACACTTCAAAAATGCCGACATCTATCAAAATAAAAAAAAAAGAGTTTTCAAAAAAAGCACCAAGAAAATAAAGATAAATTAGCATCAGAAGAAAATTAACCAAGCTTTTAAAAAGCCAAAAATACAATAGCTGAAATTTTTTATGCCGAAAACATTTCAAAAATGACTTATAAAAACTAATAAAAAAATTGTTAAAACCCATGGCACCTCACTACACACACACAAGAAATGTTTTGCTCATCAAATGACGCATTATGAGGCAAATGGGACGATATAAAATAAGCCAAAACTTTTTAAACCGAGAGAAGAAAAAAGAAAAAAAAACAATTAAAAAAGAAATTTCAAAAAAAAGACTTAAGAACTAATTAAAAATTCGTTGAAGCCTCATCCCCTTGAATACACACACAACCACGCAAAAAATTTTCCCCTCATCAAACCACGCAATTTGAGGCCAATTAACCGATATAAACAGGCCAAAGCTTATAAAACAAAGAAAAAAATGAAAAAGAAAAAAGTTTTAAAAAAAACAAATTGGTAATGGTAAAATACCACGAACCTAGAACGCCAATTTCGATTAAGACAGATATTCAAAAAGCTAACATGCTCAAAATCTGTCTGTTGCAGTTTCCAACAGAGACCAGGAGATTAATGAGTCCAGGAGATGAGTCCTGTGAACAAATTTAATTCCGGGGAAAAAGTCTAGTTCCCGATTGCAATACCCTTGCTTATCGCCAGAGTAACAAGGATAGCCGGTTGCTGTGCCGAATGTTCCGACCAGTCTTAGAAAATACAAAAAAAAATATTTTCGAACTAGTGTCATTTCTTTATGCGTGGTGCAAAAAAAAAGTATCTGATGAAAAGTAGAATTTGATAGTCATAGTAAATAAGGTAAGCTAGACATCAGTTTTTATCGAAAAAAGACTAAAAAAATTAAAATCATTAAGAAAACTTAAAATTTTCAAAAAATTCACTTTTGTTGTTGTTGAAAATTTGAAGTTTTTGATTCCTAAATTGGCGCAATAAACTCCAAAAACTATCAAAATTTAATGAAACTAAGTTTTTACTTTTTGAATTAAGCATAAATAAGCTATTGCAAGCCTGCTCGCTGGCTTTTTTTGCTCGATTTTAGACTAAAAACCAAAAATTTTGAAACTGTTTTCTCAATACTGGGACAATTTTTCTGATTATTTTAATGTCGTTCGAATCACAACTGAAACAGTTTTAAAATGATGTTTCATTCAATCTCAATTCATTTCGATGATTACTTAAGGTTCCTGATTTTGCGTGCAAAACGAAAAAAAGTTTTTTTCATAGTTTTCAAAATTTAAACACCACGTCTAAAATCAAACTCAAAATCAAGTTTTTTGCTATTTTCTTTTTTTGCTACAACGTCTGCTTTTTGTGTGCTAAGTAATTTTTGATAATTTCTTAACAAAAATAATTTCATCACTTGAGTAATTTTGAGCATACGAACGCTGTCGGGTATTTGAAACTTGGGCATTTTGCTTGATCCAGTTCAATATCTGGATGTTGGCAATTCCGACATACCCTCCGGGCGCCTTGCCACAATTAGGCGGTTGGGGTCCCTGGGACACTACGCCGCAAAGGAAGGCTTTACCTGAAAAAATTTGCGCATTATGAAAGGATTGATAAAAAAATAGCCTCGTGATACTTCAATACCTTAACCATCCAGTGCTCTTTTTCCTTTTACCCCCCACCTGCAAAATGTTACATGTAAATTTGTTGACCACTTTAGGCATTAAAACCTGATCTAAATGGGCTCATCTAACTGGATGGGGCTCTTTTTCTCAGTGGTCCCATCCAGTTAGATGAGCCCATTTAGATCAGGTTTTAATGCCTAAACACCGAAAATTGTTTTCATAACTACGCTAAAAGTATGGATTTTTTTGGTCAAGATTCCTCAAAAAAAATAAAAGTTCAAAATTTAAAAATAAAAAAAGTTAAAAACTGCTTCTTGTCTTAGGATGGAGCTCATAAAATCAGTCTACATTCGAGACTTAATCAATTATTAAAAACCGTGGCCATCGTCTGATGAATAGTTAGCATTCTCTGTTGACACCATTATTCAAAACGTGCTCTTTATAAAAATTTTTGGGTCAAAAGTTCAAAACAGATTAAAAGATACGTCACGCTTGCAGTGAGCTAAAAAAAATAAGTCTTCATTAAAATATGATACCTTGAACGTCCTTGCATTCGACTGTTCCCCCTGAGTCACCAATGCAGGCGTCTCTGGGGTACCCTTGTGAATCATAGCCCCCTCCACAGAACATCGGGGGAGCAGGCTGATAGGCACATCCATCGTGGATTTCTATTGTCACGCCCTGTAAAACATTTTATTAGGTTTCATTTTTAAAAATTCAAAAGTAAATGAAAATAAGAAATGGTGAAAAAATACAAAAATTCTAGACAAAAACTTGGCTCTTTTTCCTTTTCCCCCCACCTGCAAATTTTTATAAGTAAATTTGTTGACCACATTGTCCAATTGTTATGAAAATTTACATACAGAATAATAAGGCCACGACAAACATATTTGGTCTTCATACTCAACCTCGTAAAACCACTCGTTACACTAATATATTGAAGCTCGTGTGAGGTGGGGGGGGAAGGAAAAAAAGCCAAAAACTTTATCGGATTAGTTTATTTAAAGAAAATTACCACGTATATTCGAAATGGCTTGATCATAACCGATTTGGGCTCTTTTTCCTTCCCCCCCCCCACCTCACACGAGCTTCAATATATTAGTGTAACCAGTGGTTTTACGAGGTTGAGTATGAAGACCAAATATGTTTGTCGTGGCCTTATTAGTTCGTATGTAAATTTTCATTACAATCGGACAATGTGGTCAACAAAGTTGCATGATAAAATTTGCAGGTGGGGGGAAAAGGAAAAAGAGCCCCGATTTGAAAACTGGCATCATAGCCCATCCGGAGTTTTTCGGGTTAACAACTTGTTAACGTTGTCTCCATGTTCATTATGAAATACATTAATTTGAATCCAGGGTTGAATCTAAGATTTCAGCCAGGTTAGGCGAATAAAAAAGAGCACTCAGTAAAAATAGAAAAAACAGATTATAATAAATTTTTATGGTCAATCTCCATAATTTTCCAAAAAAAAAGAAATTATAATAGATTTTTATGGTCAGTCTCCATAAATTTCAAAAAAAAGAGATTATAATCGATTAAAAAGTGATTATAAAGTTACTATTTTTCGAACTAAGAAACCCATTATAATCGATTAAAATTGATTGTAATCGATTATAATTGGCTCTTTTTCCTTCCTTCAAACCCCCCCCCTCCTGCAGTTTTTTATATTTGAAGTTACTGTTCACTTTGTACGATTGCCAAGAAAATTGGCATGTATACTAATTAGGCCATGACAAACATAATTGATCTCCATAATTAACCTTGTAAGACCGCTCGTTAGACCATAAAATTCATGTTTGAGTGAGGTGGGGGGAAAAGGAAAAAGAGCCTTATAATCTATTACTTTTTGAAAAAAAAATTATTTCCGAAGTTTTATTGAATTAAAATCCATTTTAATTTTTTATTCAAAAAACGTCATCGCTACATTTCGTTTTATTTTTGTTTTGTTTAGTGTGCTTTTCAGTTGGTTTTTTTTCTTACTGTTAACTGTTTTACTTTCTTACTCTTCACTGCAAGGACGGATTTATGGAGGGGGGCGGGGTGTGGGGTGGGTTGGCGGACGTCTTTTTCAGGGATTCGTCCCCCTGCTTACCCAAAGGGTTCCCACTTTACACTCTTTTGAGATATTCATATTTGGTGGCGGACCCTTTGGCCTTTGGCGCCAAAAAAACTAATTTTGAGGGGGAGCGCGCGCCAAAAAACGCAATTTTTTGGTAAACTTTTTCCAAAAAAATGCCTAAAAAAGCCGTTTTTCTGTTTCTTCAAAAATTTGGTCAAAATTTGGTCAAAACAGGGTCTTTTAAGTGCTCTGGGAGAGCTTGGAAAATCAATTTGGTCGACCTTAAGAAACGGAAGATAAAATTTTTGGAAGTTTTGTATAAATCTGCCTCCTTCTGTCGAGAAAATCTCATATCCGCCCCTGGTTTACTGATTTTTTACTTCTTACTAATTTTGGCTATTTTTCCTTCCCCCCACCTCACATAATTATAGACTTCATGGTGTAACGAGGTGTTTTACAAGGTTGAGTATGAAGACTAAATATGTTTGTCAGGGCCTAAATAGTCCGTATGCCAAATTTGATAACAATCCGACAATGTGAACAAAAAAATACTCCAAAAAATTTGCAGGTAGGGGGAAAAGGAAAAAGAGCCCTAATTTGTACTCGGTTTTCATGCAGAATAGCTAAATTATAATCCATTATAATTCATTTTGCTTGTAAAATCATATTTTGATAGAAGAAAAAGGGAATCTAATCTAATATAATAGATTTTAATAGATTATAAGAGATTATGAGAGATTATAAGAGATTAAAAGAGATTTTCGGAAAAATTATAATCAATAAAAATGTTCTCCTTATAATGGATTATAAATCGTTTAAACATGTAAAATTGGCGCTTATAATTAATTATAATTTTGCTAGCAGTACAATTATAATTATAATATAACCGATTATTTTCTCTTTTTACTGAGTGCGGGCACGTATGTTCAAAATGGCTTGATCATAACCAATTTGAAAACCGGCATCATCGCCCAACCGGAGTTTTTCTGGTTAACAACTTGTTAACGTTGTCTCCACGTTCATTATGAAATATCTTAATTTGAATCCAGGGTTGAATCTAAGATTTCAGCTAGGTTAGGCAAATACTGGAAAAATTTAGCCCTTTTGAGCTTTTTTGGAGTGTTCGCTCCAACTCAAAACTAAATGATGATGTAAATTACTACCAAACGGCACGCTTTGGATGGAAATGATGAAATCTTGAGAAAGGGCGTACTTTACCTGTATTGTGGTAGCTTGGTCATTCTGACCCGAACACGATTTCCCATCAGCATCGCAAACTCGCCCCCACCCCAATACGTAAGCATTCTGCCCCCCTCTTGTCCCCTCCTCTGGTCCTCGAGGTACAGCTAGGGGAGTACCGACCATTGCTTGAGATGTTTTGATCATAGCCAGATCGAAGGCGCCGTTTCTCAACACTTGTGAATCGCCGCAGCCGAAATTGAATGTACTTCCTAAAAAGGAAACGAATCGAATATTTCCTAATCGAGTTTCAACGTACAAAACCTGTCACAAACCTATTCATTTATGTTAATTTAACGCTTGAACTTTTTTGCTTGACATAATTTTCAATAGTGATTTGCATAAAAGAAAGACTGCTCGATGTCAATGCACAATCTTGATTGTTCCGACTGCCCTCAATTGTCGATCACCAGCTTTTGCTGAAAATATTTTATGTCAAAATCGAAAAATCGAAAAATTTTTGAATACATTTTAAAACTTTTAGTTCTTAATTTTATCAACCCACAACCTAGGTAAGGTATAAGGTGATATATTTTCAGTTTGCTTTCTTATAATTCAGAGCAAATTGCTTGCCTCAAATCAATATCAAATGGTTGAATTTTCCGTTTAAATTTTTGATAGAATGAATAACCCAATTTGAATTGCAATTGTCAAACTTGTTCCAAGTTCAAACCATTACAATTTGGTGAAAAAAGTCAAAATAAAATGTCATTTTCAATTTGCGCTCCTGACAGCAATACCTATCAGATGGTATAAAAATCACAAGGAAGCCTAAAATAATTTCTTTTTCTGAGAATATATGAGCTGGATTAAGAATTTAAATCACAAAAAATATCGCTCGTTAATTATCCCAGTTCGGCCAAGTAGGCAGCTTTTAAACCCTATAATTCTACAATAAAATCTAACACATGAAAAACGTTTTTTAATTTGAGCTCAAGATGTCAATACTTTTCAGATGACATCGGAAACTCTGGACCATTTTCCAGTTCCTCTTTTAATTTTTTCTTCTTGCAATAATTCATGGCAGTGCTTTTTCTGACAACTTTTTTAAAACGCAAAATGCTGTGTCAACAGTTGATAAAACTATCAATGTTGTAGTGTGATGAGGGAGGTGGGGAAAATGAAACAAAAAGTCAGGCCAATCACAACTTTTCTGCTTTCTTCAAATGCCAGAGAAAACTTTTATATCAATGTGAGGTTCTTCAAAATTAAATTGTGTTTGGTGAAACAAATAAAAATTCAAAAAATTGAATCTAAAACAATTTTTTTGATTTTGCCTGAAATTTCAAATTTATACGTGCTTTTCACACCTAATCTAATGATGCGTTCGCATGTATGTTTTTATATTTTTTGCCTTCCATCAACAAACGAGCTTGAATTGAATCAAAACAAAGTGAAAAACCAACCGCAAAAATCAACTCCAGTAATCAAGTTGTTTTTTAGATTTTTCCCCTCTAAATCATTTCAATTATTTAAAACTTCAAAAAAATTTGAAGCTATAACAGTAAATTTTCAAAAGTTATTGAAGAGTTATTTTTTTGAGAAAAAGAGTTATTTTTTTGAGAAAATGCAGGTTTCAATTTTTCTTAGAAGTATTCATTTGCAAACAATGGTGTTTCATGCTGCTGATAGAGGGTCAAAATTTAGGTCTATCTTACTTTTTTCTTTTTTGGAAACCAAAAGTACTTTTTTCACTACTTTTATAATCGATTCGAAATATTTTTACAATTTTATCAACATTTAGTTTCTGTTTTTTTTGGAGTTCTAAGCAATCAGTCCCATTAGTGAATTTTCAGCGGATTTTTCTGTTTTATTATCAACACATTAAATGACTGACTTTTATTTAGATCGAACAAATTAAGCTTTTTTCTCTGTGAATAAATTCTTATCCTGGTTTTTTTACCAGGTTTTATTTTTCTGCTTTTAAGATCTGCTGCAGCAGGCAAATGTTCAAAAAAAGATCGGTACAAGCCTTGTTGTACCAGTTATGGAACAATTTGACAGTGAAAAATTCAGTTCAGCCATACTTTAACTAAGCTCTAAAAATGAACTGAACTTGGAAACTAAGCGAAGAAAATCTTTTAAAAAAGACAATGAAATGAAAAAATTCCAAAAATGTGTTCCATAGTTTTCTTTTTTATTTTGGTCTTTTAGCCGGAAGCGTTAGTTTTTGGTTCAAATTTTGTTGCTAGTGACAGCCAATAAACAAAAAAATGAGCACCAAATTCCAACAACGAAGAAATATATCAAAAATCACTTTGAAAATCTGTGAATTCGAAACTCTTGGATGCTTCAATTTTAGTGCAACCAGGATACTCGGCTTTAATTAAGTCCATGAATTTTACTTTTTTTGTTCTCGAGCGAAGGATACGCTATAACTGAACGTTATAAGCAGGAGTAATTGGTTCTCTTTGATTGTAGTGTTATCTTAAACTTTGTATTTGAAACAATTTTGACGGCAGAGGAACGAAGTTTGATGAAAATTTGATTCTTTCGTTTATTTGTAGTATTGTTGCTGAAATGGACTGACATTTTTCATTTTTTAGTGTTTTCGATGCTAGCATGTTTTTTGAGAATTTTTACTCCGAATTGTCAAAAGTGTTGGCAATCGACAGTTATGAGCTATGAGTTGTGTAATTGAGGTTTTGTAATTGATATATTTTTTAAATGGTTAAAACTAGAAATAATTTTCATATCCAGTAACTGTGAAATTAATTGTGACTAGAATTTTAAAATTTACATTTGGCTCTTTTTTTTTACTTTTTCACGCTTTCGAGATTTTTGTTTCATTTTTTATCATTCAGTTTGTGTCATTCTGTTTGTTAAGGAAAAATTTGTTAGTTATGCTACCAGAAAAAAACTGTTTCACAAATCTGATTTCTTTTTTCGGTCTTTTTCTTTCATCAGAAGATTAAGACTTTAAAATTTGAGCAGTTTGAGAAATTTTCCCTATTTTTTGGTTTTTTTGAGTTTCACAAAATTGACTGAAGAGCTAGAATTGGACACAGTTCATTGAAAACTATGTTTTTTTATTTGGAATTTTTTAAACCAGAAGTTATCGTTTCTCATCTTTTGTATAATACTATATAAAAAAAATTTTCACAACCAAATTGATATGTGTATATAGTTTTTGATTGTGATGCAGATGAAAAATTTGGAGTAATTCATGTTCAATTTTTAATACAAAAAAAGGTTCTGAAATTTTTATGGATGATTTTTAGTCAAAAAATAAAAATTCTAGTGTGCTATAATTTGATTCCAACTTTTTACAAACAGCAAAAAGCTTTTGAATACATTTGATCAGGTTTATAAAGTTTATCAAAAACAAACCGTGCTCGTTCATCAAATATCAAAAATTTCCTCAAAACACCCAGCGAACATCAAAAATCTCATGATTTGCAAGAACCCCAAAGAATATTCCAAGATTACGGAAACACGCATCAGGAAAGTTCTGGAAATCCACAGTTAAGCCCTTTTAAGGCAACGGGCAATCAAAAATCATTTTTAGTTGATAGGTTGGATGCAAAAGCAAATGGAAATTTTTGTTTCAAGAACAATTATAACGCAACCAAGCCGAGACCCAATCTGTGCGGCTTTTTGTCTATAAACTGACCTTGATTCGGTCTTCTGTTGCCTACAAAGATGCTTCCGTCACAGTTCCCATTCACGTCACCCCTAACACAGTGTTTCGCAGTCAGCACTAAAACAAGCATTTACCCAGAGGCGAAGCTGCACTTTGCAAACACAAACTAGAAAACAGCAAAAAGAGGATCTAGAAAGGCAAAAACAAAATGAAAGAATTGAAAAGCTTAAATACAAGCCTCGAGGTTTTTTCTGTTCTATTTCGCAATCGAACCTCCAACTTGACGATTAGGTGTTTCATACCTTCGCATCTGCATCACGATCACTTGGAAGGGAACTAGTTGCCCAGTTAAAGCCGAAAATACCTAATTGAGATTTTCTTTGAGTATATTGTAATAATACGAAGGTTTAGCGTAATGAGTGATAACGGGAGTAACAAGGGCTTTTTGTCCTTTCGTCCCCACAGTTTTTTAGAAAATTTTTCTGTTTCCATTGTCGGACTATTTCGGCCGTGACAAACATATTTGGTCTTCATACTCAGCCTTGTAAAAACACTCGTTACATCATGAATCGATGCTTTTGTGAGGTGGGGGGAAAAGCTCACGAACGACCAAGAAAGACAAAGGACTAAAATTTTATTAACTTTTGAAAAACGGTTGTAAGCTAACGCGCAGACAAAAAATATTTGTTTGAAGGGAGAAAAGAAATCACATGTCAAACAGCAAAAAATAAAAATTGAGCGTAAACAAATTTTAAGGTCTTTTCCTAAAAAAAAGTAAAACAAATCAGCAAGACCTATATAAGAGTACTTACTACGTTTATTACTCTTGAAAAGAAAAAACTACCGAAACCAAACTGTCAAATATTGAACTTTTCTCAAGTCCATATAATTTCTCGACAAAAGAATAAACACTTACGCACATAAAATTTCAAAAACCTGTTTTACTGACTAAAGCTTTAATCCCAGTTTTGGGCGGGTACTTTTTGAGAAATGTCGAAACGTTTTTAAAAAATGATTTCCAATGACTGTAGTTGCCTAAATGTGTATTGTTTTTCTAAACAGAATAAGACTTATTAGAAACCAGCCACTTATGCAGCGAAAACAACTACCATAGTCTGTTCTTTTGACTAGAATTGAAACCTCAGATTTGGCAAAGTAGTTTTCGAGAACATTTTCGAAAAGTAGTTTTCGAGAACATTTTCGAAAACATTTCCAAAAACCACTCAAATTTTCAAACTTGTAGAATTTGTAAGTTCATAAATTTTTTTTTTTACAATTCTAAGGATGTAGCGGTTTTTCGATTGCATCTTTAATTCCGCAATCTGTGAGTTATTTTTTAAAATCCTAAAATTTCACAAAAACGGTCAAAACCGCAAAAAAATGGTTTTTCCAAATTTTCTAAATTCTTAACTTTCTAAATAACTCTTTTTTTTAAATTAAGGCATTACCGTGTATGCAGTAAAAACCCTACAGATTTTTTGTTTTGAATTTCTTATTTTAGATGTGGAAAAGCTGTTTTCGTGATAAGTCAAAACTTTCACAAAAGCTGTCAAATTGTCAAAAACTGGCCATTTCCAAAGGCTACAATTTGTTCTAGCAAAAAATGGACGTAGAACATGTTGTAAGGTAAAAAAAGAGTGGTGCAGGTAAAAATAGTAAAAAACAACTCGTAAAAAATAGTTTGAATGACCAATAATATAATTTTTTTGAATAATGGTTAAGTAGTTTTTGAGAATAGCGAATAGCTAAAAATGGGCCAGCTTAGAAAAAATATGAGCCAGATGTTAATTTTTAATCATTCGTCATGGTTGCGGTTAAATTTTCATGGAATTTGGTGGGTTGCTCTGTTCGCGGATAACTTTTCCTGGGTCGCCCCGTTCTCGGTCATCAAAGTCTGGATAGTTTTCCAGTCATAAAACCAGGGGCGGATCTAGGATTTTTTCCAGGGGAGCGGATTTTCAAAAAATTTCGAAAATTTTGACGACCTTTTTTTTTTTTTAGGTCGACCAAATTGAATTTCCGAGCTCTTCTAAAGCAGTAAAAGGTCCCTGTTTTGGCCAAATTTTCTGCGCCGCAGGCAAATTTTTGAAAAAACAGGACAAAAAAACCTTTTTTAGGCACTTTTTGAAAAATTTTGACAAAAAAATCGCGTTTTTTTGGCGCGCGCTCCCCCTCAAAGTTAGTATATATTGGCGCCAAAGGCGCCTCTAGAAAAATTTTAGGGTCGGTCGGCAAAAAATGGATTTCTTAAAAAGTACCAAAGGGGGGACCCTTTGGTTCGGCAGGGGGTCGAATCCCTGAGGGGTGGAGGCGTCCGCCCCCCCCCCCCCCCCCTAAATCCGCCCCTGCATAAAACCACAACTTCGGCCCGAGAGATATTAAATAAGTAATTCCCCTCCAGCCAATATTAAGAAGTGTTATCTATTGAGTTTTTCGGTAATTATTAGGATCAATTAGCTCTCCTCCTTTCAGTTTGCGATGAAGTTGAGCTGGGATTTTAATTGATACTCACGCTCTCCTAACCACTCATCATTAACTGATAATTTCAATGTTTGCGATACAGTGAAAGGCTCTGTATTCTAATTTTGTGATTTATTATTCAGTTCTTCCACCTACCTGAATATTGGTCTATGAGAGTACCACCGCACAAAGAGCACCTGCAAGTAAAAGGATAACTTAAGATGCAAGTAGCCCAAAATAGTCCGAACTCAGCTATCACCAAAAATAAGAAAACTTTTAATTATTTTTGGAACAGCATCTTAAAATTTCATGTAAATGAGGTCGAGCTATGACAAAAACATACCAATTTTTAAAAAATGAATAATAATTATGGGGAAAAAACGTTGAAAAAAGAAAGTAAACGTTCTGATTGGCTGAAAATTCTCAGATCCAAGTTAATATCCTCTTCCCTTAATTGCTTAGGGGGAGTAGGTTAGATTGGTACAAAAAAAACAAATCAGACCAACAGCTTGAAGCAATCAGTGTTGCTTGCAAAGTATATGCAAATGGTTAGGATTTCCTTATTGGTATGGTAGCTTACTCATCTCCGTTGCACATTTCCATGTACACCGTCCACGGATGGTTTGTAATCTTCACATTGAACCCATTTATAACTCGGTCCACGAGAACTGTTTTACTATCATTGCCACTTTTATTGTAGTCTATCCTACCCTCACCACTCACTAATAACTGATCATCTTTGTAAGTTTCTCCACTTTTCGAATCTTTTATCAATAGTTCTGGAACAGGTGTTGTTATTGACTCAATATTGTAACTGTCGTCTTCAGAACCTGTCGGCGTCTCGAAATTTCGGCCTAACGTTCTTTTCTTCGAGGTTACATGAGAACTGACAGATTGGTTATAATTGATCTTTCGGCTCTTGTAGCAGACAAGAAATATAGACGAACAATCGCTTTTGTCGAACTGGTGGTACCAACAGCCGTCCTGCACAAGCACATAAAAAACAAGAAAAACGAGTTTCTGGCATTTTTTATTTTCATTTTTTAGCATATATCTTGAAAATTCAAGCATAGCTAAAAATCAGCGCGAGTATTTTGAAAACTTAAGCTAAATTCAAAAAACGAGCAACCAGTTTTGATGATAAAACTTCCGAAATTGTCAAAAAATTACCTTAAAAGGCTGTGTTTCAGTATTTACGCAAATCAGTTCAATGTTGCCATACGCGTAATCAAAAGACTCCATAACTGAAATCATGGCAATAACTTCACCAATTAAACAAGTAACAATAATTCTAATATTTCCCAATACAATTTTCATTCTCTCATCGATTTGGCGCCTAGAAATCTGAATTGTTTGAAACAAATATATTTATGATCTTGATTTTCCTGGGGATTGATTGACTTTTTGAAAATGATAACCTAATAAAGTGCCTTAATTATGACATTTTAAAACAAAATTCAGATTTTTAAAACGGGCATGCTAAATTGGATCTTTGAATCTTGATGCAGAACGTAAAACGGCGAAAATTTGAAAGTAACTGACATTGAAGTTTAACAAAGAAAACAACAATTTTGTTAACTGTTGTCTTAAAGTTAAAATAATTGGCTTCAAAAGTAGCAAATTGCGAACTTTTCAAGTGACGGTAGGCCAACAAAGCGAAAGGCCAATAAGCCGAAAAGAAGATAACATTCCAATAAGCCGTAAAATAGTCTTGTTATGCAATGTAACGGCAGATTGTCATTTTTGTTATGCGATTGTTACGTAATTCTGATGTTATTTCGGCTTCAAGGGCTTTGAAATGTTATATCACCACAAAATTGACTTTAAAACTTAAGTTATAGCGTTATCGAATTGACCTTAAAATGGCCTAAATTGAGTTTAAAATTGACCTTAAAGCTTCAAAATAAGACCAAAAAACATATTCATGTAGAAATATCGAGCTCAACTAGAATTTAAGTTCGCATAACACATAAAGTAGTTTTCACCATTGCTCTCAGCAAAATTTCGGTTGTCTTCTAGCATGCAATTAAGTCGCGAAAACGCACGTTCGACATCAGCGCCGCCCACTGGGTGGAGCACTTTGCAAGATAGCATATTCCAAGGGTTGCAGTTTTCGTCTATCTTTGTAGTTGGCTTGCACTATTTATTTTCCATCCATTTCCATCATGACTTCAACTACGGTCTCCTGAATACAGAAAAAGTTCAATCACGTACAAATTTAAATGTAAGGAAAAAAATTAAAATTATTTAGAATCCCCAGCTTAAAATGGTCGACGCCCAGAGATAAAGTTGTCTGAATAACCGAACCAGAATGGGATAGCAATTCCTGTTCTTTTCTTTTAAGCTGCTCGGTGTTGCGATGACGTTCAACGTTGTACTTTTTTCACAATTCACTTTTACAGAGCATAGTTGACAGAATAGCTCTCCATTTTCTAAGACCCTGACCTCTTTTGGATACCGGGTTTTTACATGAAAGGCCTTCTCGCGGGATGTAAGCTTCGCACGAGGCACGTCGCAATCGTAAATGGTCAATTACGTGGCTTACTGGCTTCTCAGAAATATTTGAAAAGCATCACATTTGAAATTTCATTTCTCAGAAATGTAGGTATTAGTTAGTTAAATTCTGAGAAAGACCAAAAATGACTTTATAAATAGCAGAAATAGCATTTATAGCAGTTACGTGGTGAAATTGATAAAATTGACCGAATATCAGTAATAGCAGAAAAAAAAGTGTCACTTCCAAAGACAAGGTTGCTCCCCGTTTTCATTGGTTGGAACAACAAAGATAGCCGATTTTTGTGCATAATACCACAACGTTTGAAGTAAAGTATTTCATGAACCATAATAAAACAATTAAATTCAAAAAAATGTCTCTTGTTTTTTAGAAGGGGCAATTGAATTATGTTAAAAATTGCCAAATTTAAGGTAATATTAGCAAATTGTTGTAACAGAGCATTTAAGGCTGTGCGCTGCATCGATTTTGCATCGAATATCGATGCAAGGGCATTCATCGTCATCGAATCGAAAGTCGATGCAAAAATTATTCGATGATCGACGATTGGCAGCTGCGTTTTTCTGAGAAATGCGCTACAGCTATAACGTGTTTATACAATAATTACGTCATTAATAAAATAAAAATAACTAAATAAGTCTTAATTGAAATCAGTAAAGTACAACTGATTAACAAATACATTTACAAATTGTAGTTTCTCATGGAAAATCAATTAGAATTCGAAATTTCTTTCCGGTCAAATGGTTCGGAGCAGTATCAGTGATTTGTATGCCAAGTTATAGAACCGTACTAATAGCGCTTGTATTCCGAGACCTCTCCGAGATTTGCAAAGTTTAACTCTAAAGTGAATAGCTAACACTTAAGTGATTGGAAATAGCCTTCTAACTTAGTTTTTCTGAAAAATGCGTTACAGCTATAACGCGTTAATATTAATTACGTCTCTAAGAATCTTCTAACTTAGCAATTTTTGTCAGAATGAACTCAGCAGTCTGGATTTATTTTATCAAGTCAACTTCCGGAGAAACTTGCGTGTGCAATAAGTGTAAATTGGAGCTTTCTTGCGCCCAACTACCACAACTAATGCAATTGTCAGAAAACTAATTCGCACCGTTGCAGCTCAAGACAAACGAGAACACTATTCCACAGAGAGCTTGAACAGTATCTTCATGAAAAATACCTTGAAAGGAACGAAAACCGGCTTCTCTACTGGAAGAAAACTGTGAAAAATTCCCAAAAGTTGCCAAACTCGCAGAAAATTTACTGTGTATTCCTGGAACTGCTGTTCCCAGCGAGAGAGTATGGTCTGATGCGAGTAATATAGTAACATCAGCACGACAAACATTATCTCCCGTAATTTTTCGTATGCTACTTTTCTTGCGTGAGAATTTAAAATAAAATTTTGTTTCTCTGTTTCAAATTTTGCTTTGCATCGAAAATTCATCGAATAGCGATGAATTTTTCCGCATTGCATCGTCATCGCATCGATTTTGAAAAAAACTGCATCGCACAGCCTTAAGAGCATTAGAACTGAATTGATAGTTCAGGTTATTTTGTAAACTTTGTGTTTATTAGTCTGAAAAAACAACAAAATGCAGGCTTCTTTTCTTAAAATTGAGTTTTTCGAATCGTTGTTTTTTGGAATCCAAATCATGGTTGAGTGGGTTTTAAATTGATTCAAAGTTTGGCCAGATGACTATCTCCGAGTTTCTGTCGAGGGAGCACAAATCCGGCGCAAAAACGCACAAGTTAATCTATTGATCCTCATTTCACATTAAGAAGCGGCTTAATGCACATATCTATTGTTTCGCAGTTTTTTCACCAACAAGAGTTTCCGATGTTGGTTCTCACTTTGTCGGTTGGCAAATCAAATCATGGGATATAGCAAAAACAACCTATTTAGATCACAGAATCTGTTAACAACCTCGAATTTGTTTTCCGGGTAGTCTAATTACAAGGTAAAGTGTCTGCATTTTAAATTTATGTTCAATCGCTTGGTCAGCGAACTTTTTAGTATTTTGACTAACAAATTTTTTCTAAGTTCAGCGGATTCCTGCTCAAGTTGCTTGAAAACTAAATTTCAACAGAATCAGCAAACAGTAATACCCCAATCGTAGGATTTTCACTACAAGAAGAAACAAATTCAACTGCAAATTACTGAGGTATATCATTTCGCATTTTAAATTGTTACTGAGTCATGAAAACACTTTATCAGCTAAAATTCTCGCCGCTCAAAAACACCATGAAGGAAAAAGATTTTTTGTGCGCAGCAATTTAGAAAATTTTATGCCGTTATCAAAGACATATCAGCCGAATAGTTTTGTGCTTTTTTTCTGGACAGTAAGAACACCGTATCTGGAATTCCAACAAAAGCAAATCTCAACCAGGAGTATAGGAAAAAAGTATCTCAATTATACTTTTCAGTCCCGTACTTTTCACTGAACCAGATGCAGAACTTCGTCTGGTTCTGGAGTTTTATTCTAAAATCCAATTATTAGGCCTATTTGCAGCTTAAAGCTAAACGAATAAAAAAAGCTAAACGAAAGTTGGTTTTTTGTGTACCAACAAATTTGCAGCCTCCTCACTTACCCATAAGCAGAACTCAGGCCTAACATAGAATTTTAGTCTAAATTGTTACAATTATAACACGTATTTGCAACTTTCTTTTTAATGAATATTTAGGATAGTGTTATTTAGGTACAAAAACGTTAGTGGAGTGAAGCGCTTGAAACTAACCACGTGAAAAAACGGAAGAACGTGAATGAAAAGACGAGAATGACAGAAATTACTGAATTTTCAAAGCAAAATTATGGACATTAAACAAGAGTACCTGATTTACTCGCACCGAAAATTCATAAATAAAATGGATTATAACAGATTTTTGTTGACTAAAACGTTGTCTATCTAATTGATTATCATGGCACATTTAGACAACGTAATGGGTTTTTAATCCATTTTAATTGATTAGTTTCGAAAATAAAACTTCCGAAATTGATAAAACTTCCGAAATTGTCAAAAAATTACCTTAAAAGGCTGTGTTTCAGTGTTTACGCAAATCAGTTCAATGTTGCCATACGCGTAATCAAAAGACTCCATAACTGAAATCATGGCAATAACTTCACCAATTAAACAAGTAACAATAATTCTAATATTTCCCAATACAATTTTCATTCTCTCATCGATTTGGCGCCTAGAAATCTGAATTGTTTGAAACAAATATATTTATGATCTTGATTTTCCTGGGGATTGATTGACTTTTTGAAAATGATAACCTAATAAAGTGCCTTAATTATGACATTTTAAAACAAAATTCAGATTTTTAAAACGGGCATGCTAAATTGGATCTTTGAATCTTGATGCAGAACGTAAAACGGCGAAAATTTGAAAGTAACTGACATTGAAGTTTAACAAAGAAAACAACAATTTTGTTAACTGTTGTCTTAAAGTTAAAATAATTGGCTTCAAAAATAGCAAATTGCGAACTTTTCAAGTGACGGTAGGCCAACAAAGCGAAAGGCCAATAAGCCGAAAAGAAGATAACATTCCAATAAGCCGTAAAATAGTCTTGTTATGCAATGTAACGGCAGATTGTCATTTTTGTTATGCGATTGTTACGTAATTCTGATGTTATTTCGGCTTCAAGGGCTTTGAAATGTTATATCACCACAAAATTGACTTTAAAACTTAAGTTATAGCGTTATCGAATTGACCTTAAAATGGCCTAAATTGAGTTCAAAATTGACCTTAAAGCTTCAAAATAAGACCAAAAAACATATTCATGTAGAAATATCGAGCTCAACTAGAATTTAAGTTCGCATAACACATAAAGTAGTTTTCAGCATTGCTCTAAGCAAAATTTCGGTTGTCTTCTAGCATGCAA